TTTCTGTAGAATCTCTCTACAGCGAGACTGCACCCAAAAATGCACCCCAAACTGTCGCTCTCTCTCTACAGCAAGAAGGTGACAATTTCAGTTCTTCCTCCCAGGACCTTCTCGTTACAGTGAGAATCCTCTCGCTGCAGTAAGAACAGCCAGTATTACGCCCTGCACTTAGGCACTGAGCCCATTCAGCCCTATCCAGTCATGCATACACACAATACACACATCCATATACTTAATACACATAAGCATCATCATCAAGTCAACACACGTATATATATATATATATATATTTATATAAATAACAATAATTAATATTACAAAATTAGGGGCGTTACATTACATGTCAAGATTTAAATATGTTGTTGTTGTTGATGTTATTCTCATTGTCATCGTAATAATTGTTGGCACTCATTAAGTTAACAAAAGGGACTGTATTGCAAAGTGAGGTGTTGAGGAGTTAATGAATAATAAGTTGATCTTATAATTGTGTTGATAATTCAATGTATATAAATTTACATGATTTAATGATTATTACTATGTTTTATAAGCTCACCCTTACTATTTCGTTTGTGTTGGTGTGTGTGTATGACGATGATCGTACTATGGTATGTGAGCATATATGACAGTTCTGTAGCTACTTCTCATGCTGGAAGGTCTAGTTGAGGAAACCGTGGAGTCAAAATTTTGTGAAGATTATAATTTTATATTATTAGTCTAGGTCTGGATGGTGGGTCTAGACTATTTAGTTACAGTCTTCAGTAATGAAATTATTATTATTCAAAAACTTATTTTGAGCTCCTTGTAGAGCCATCTTTGTATATGTATAGACATATTTATATAAATTATTATGTTTTATGAAAATGCTTCAAAGCAATGTTATTCTGTTGATTGAGATACTAAAAAAAAAAAAGAAGAAATTTTATACCCTAATCTATGTCTATGTGTACATTATTCTATAAGTAAATAATGGAAATCAAAAACAGTAAAGTAGAATGTCATTGACCCTTTATAAAAATTGGTCATGATACAACAAGCCTAAACTCTTTTAAGAAAAGATGGTCAACTTTAATAAGAATAAGAACAAGGGTAATCTCAACAGGTCAAAGTTATCCAATTGGCAAGCACTCACTACAAGTTTGTAAAAGTCATTCATCCACTAAATTCTAGAATCTCATTCAAAATAGAGGTTGAAAATTGTCATGCCCTAGCACAAAGTTATTCACACTTCTTTCTCAACTATTCTAGTTAGTGTCAACTTTCCTTCATCGGGTGGAAAAGGTAAGATGTTTCGCAAAGAAACTTGCTCCATATTTTCTCTTTCTAAAGAAAATAGGTTCTTAAAATAATTCTAGCTTGCTTGTTTCAACTTCTCATCTCTGCAATTAAAACCATTTTCTAAGCAAAGGCTAAAAATCATGTTCCTTTTTTCCACAAAAGTTTGCATGTGAAAGAATTTTTTATTTTGATCATCAAGTTTTATTCACTTTTCTTGCATTTTTGGAACAAAAAAGTTCTTATTTGATCATCAAGTTTTATATACCTCATTGTATTATTTTTCTAATTCAACCTCCAATCACTTAAGAATTCTAGAAATAATGAGGGTCAAGTTCAACTTAGACCTTTTTAATCTCAACTCAATCTATCTTTTTCTTTGAAATATTGTCAAACTTTTCTTTGTTAAAAGTCATTACTTCCTCTTTCATGCGCATGAAAGACCTTGCAATCATGTTTTCACCTTTTCCAATCTTTTGATACAATGTTAGGAAACTAAATAAGATAGTTATGGGGCTTAAAAATGAAATAATTTATTGGTTTCTTTTGTATTTTTACTACCACACACCTCATAATGATAGGTGTTTGGTTAAAATGAGCTCTCCACAAGTTCTTAGCCTAGTTCTTAGGAAAATGAACTGCCCAATTAGTGTCTACTTTATTTACCCTCTTTGCTATAGTTTTGCAAACCTTGTTATGCAAGTAAATTTATTTATTAATACTCCTATGACTGTTAGGTGACAAAAGTATATCATTTGAGCCAATAAGCTCAAGGCATAATAACAGTACTTCTTAACTCAGTTTAGGCCACAAATTATCTTATTTAGTAGACATTGAATTTGCAAAATTGCACTCTAGCCCAATAGCTATTTCCTCTAGAATCTTTATTGACAACTCAAATGTCCCCAAAATAATTTTGCACTTCAACAATGCAACAATCTTTATATCGGAGTGTACTCCAAAAGTGACGTGATGTATAAATATTGCAACGAGTTTTTACTAAAATGACCACAACTAGAAAGCATTAGTTTTAATCTCACAATAAGCGTCTAGCAACCATTTCATGAAGTTTATCGGCTGTATCATTCTCATCTCTTTCAAAGAGAGCACGGATAATTATGTCAAAAGTTATAGCATCAGGGCTGCAACCATTGTCTTCCATTTTTGACAACAAGGCTAATGCTTCATCAAGCAAGCCCTCCTTACAAAGGGCATTGATCATAGCATTATATGTTGCCACATTAAGATGATAGCCATTAATCAAAATTGCCTGGAAAATCCCTTGTGCATCCTTAAGTCTTCCGCCTTTGCATGGTCCATCAATAAGTATTGTGTTTGCATATGCACTGGATGAATGCCCTTGTCTATAACTTTATTGAATAGTGCAATTGCCCTATCTAAATGATGGTTTTTGAATAATGCCTATATCAAGGAATTGTAGGTAATTATATTAGCATGTTGATCCCTATCATCTATCTCATCAATAAGCTCCCAAACATAAGAAATTCTCCCTAATTTGCACAAACCATCAATAACAGAATTGTAAATTACTGGAACCATACAGTTGCAATGCATGTCTTCAAAGAGAATCATGGCTTCATCTGCCATTTTAATCTTGCATAATCCACTAATCATTATATTGAAGCTCTGTACACTAGGGGTTACTCCATTTCGAATCATGCTGTTGAATACACATCTCGCATTCTTTACCTCATTAACTAAGCAATAGCCATTCATTAAAGTAACATAAGTAACAACAGTTTCACACCATCTTTTATCATCACAGCTAACAAATTTTTGGCTTCTCTCACATTTCCTTCCTTACACTTACACACAGTGCATCAACATTGGGATAAATTTTCTTAACCATTTCTGAAAAAGATTACATGCCTCGGTCAAAAGTTTATCTTTACATAGGCTATCGATGATTGTGCTGTACATTACCACATTAGGCTCAATCGATTGCGCTTCAATCTTTCTCAGCAACTGAATGGCAGCTCTCGTTTCTCCCACTGTGCATAATCCATTAATCATCTAACTTGGTTCATCTAAAATTCTTGAGCTACCATCTTGTCATGGAAATGCAATGCTTTTCTAACGTTGCCGTTAAGACACATACCATTCATGAGTGTATTAAAGGTTACGCTATCCGGCTGATAACTCAATCTGAAGATCTTGGCCAATACCCAAAAAGCTAAGGTCATATGACGCAGTTGGCATAAACAATTGATGTGAATGTTAAAAGTAATAATGTTTGGCTCAATTCCCTTGAATCCCAATCGTTGAAATAGGAAAATGGCAGTGTGGAAATGCTTGTTCTTAACCAGGGACCCCAAAATCTTGTTAAATTGAACGATGCATGGAGAACACGCGTATTGACCATGCGATTAAATGAGGAAACAGCATCATCAACATCAACATTGTGAATGAACCGGGTTTGGAGTTAGGAAGAAGAAAAGGAGGAAACTTGGGATTTGGGAACAGAGAGACGGAGAGAAGAGCTTCACCTTGAAAATGACATTCTGAATATCAAAGTGGAAGCGTCTTCTCTTCTTCAGGGTTCCGAATGTTACGTGGTTTTGAGGGCATTAATAAAAAAATATGGTGCTGTGTTTAGGGTTTTGTCGGTTTTTTTACATTAAATTGAACTTGTTTTTATATTTTTTATGTATTTTTTTTTTATTTATGCACATGTTAGATAATTAAATTTTTATAACTTGTATCTATAATAATTATGCAATTTATTAATTAAAATATATTTTTTCTAGATAAAATATTTATTTTTATAAATTAGTAAAGAGTAGATATTATAAAGAATATAAAATATATTTAATAAAAATAATTTTTAAAATTACATGTAACCTTTTATATTGACAAAAATTTTATATTACTTTTTTTATTATAAAAATTAATATCCACAAATGTAACTATATTTAAAGAATAACAAAACAGATAAATAATAAAACAATGTTAAAAATAAAAGGAAAAAAAATAGTTATACATATAGAAGGATTTTTTAAAATAATGCAAATCTAAAAAATTTCATATTTGATATAAATCTTTTATTTAACTTATATTTAACCGTTTATTATTTCACTGATAAGTTAAATAAAAAATATATAAAAGTTTTTAAATTTATACTTATGTAAAAAATCTTTATCAGTATATATATGCAGTAAGAGAGATGAAAGATATACAAAAAAAAAAAGAAAAAAGAGAGATCATTGAAAGAATTATAAGTTATGATTTCATCCCTTGATTTACAATGATATGCTACCTCGCATATTTATTAGACGTTTGGCACCCAGTAACAGAATTTCTTAAGAGAAGATCAATCCAAGAGAGATAGGTGTAACATTCCAGCTTTGTAAAATAAAAATGAGTGAGAAAAGTTAAAATAAAATAAATTTAATTTATTAACAATAACTATTCTTTCTTTCTTTTTTCTTTTCTTTTTAACTAAATAAAAAAATGCATCAATATTCCTTTCTTCTCATTGAAACAAAAACAATTGCTATAATTCAATTAAATTGATAAAACATATTGAAGTGACTCTTGGACAGCCAGCGTTTCAAAATTTATTTTAGAATATCTTCTAAGTTAATCAGATTCCCATGACTTAACACAAGATATACCGCCTTCAGAACACTTTAGATAATCCTTCCAATAATAGGATATGCAACAGAAACATACGTAAACATAGAATAATTATTTCAACTAGGAATAAGATATCCTAAAGCCATAACCCAAATGACTGAATTTCAAAATGTCGAGATATTAATGTGAACTTTAAAACTCCAATAACACACCTTAATTCCAAAATAGTAAATACATTGTAAATTATTACAGTAATCATAAAGATAAGCTCATTCTGCATTAAACAACAGGAGAAAAACAATGGTCAACATAGAATCCACATTACTCACCATCCCAGAGTTCTTCAGTGGTTTTGTACCCAGCAGATGTCTTGCTAACGAAGTCTTCTCCAGTAACAACTCTCTCCTGCGTCAGTAAATCAGAGTTGAAAGGAGATCAAGTCTTCAGGCTATCAATGACGTTTCTTAACATACTTGATTTCCCTTAGCACATAAACTGACTTTTAAATATCATACTTGTCTAGCAATTAAAATTAAACATGGAAAATAAAAATGCTTTTGAAATCCCAGATGCTTGAACAATTGGAGGGAAATAGATCCTTTTATGCATATGAATGATTGATAGATATCCAATAGTTAGTTAAGTTTGTCGGTTTAAGAAATAAAGCATGCTGCTTATATAAATAACAAGGTCAAGAAGAATTTTTAATGAAATTATTTAAAAAATCTCATAATATGTAATATCTCTGATAATTTAATTTTTGATTGAGCTTGATGTCGTGTAATCATGTAGCCTTGTTTTTGTTATTGCTTATAAATAATAGTGGAGAGAGAAATATTGTTATTAGAGAATGAATTAAACACTTGGAAAGTGGGGAGAGTCCTGTTCTCTCAAATATCCAGGGAAATAATTAAATTTCATACCTTTTACCCTAAACCTAAGTCTGCTACCACATTGGTCCAACAATTGGCATTTAGGGATCATCAACAAAAATTAATTATTTCCTTCAGAATCTGAACCAGTTCTGTTAGAGGACAAGTTTAAAAATATTCCATCTATCTCTCTTATAATAAAATATTAATGAGTCCCACTCCCACCTATTTATTGTTACCCAGGAAAGAGATAGACACATGATTCGAACATGAGCGTGTCATGTTAAAATTTGGCACGATAAAACCTGTTTCCATGTTGGGATAGCTATTCCCAAACATGAGTGACTAGAAGATTGCATGAAATGACTTGCCTGCTCAATTTCAGAGAACTTGGGCAGCAAATCTGAAGGTATAGACCAGTGAAACAGATCAAAGTTTTCTTTGATCCTTGCATCATTTGTGCTCTTGGGCAGTACACTGTGACCCATCTGTAGTCCCCATCTAAGAGCTATCTGGGCTGGAGTCTTCCCTAACTTCTCTGCAGCCGTGTGCAGAAGTGGATTTTTAAGAACATTACTTTCACCGTATCCTTTACCCAGAGGTGAATAACCCTGAATAAGAACATTGAAAGTGGTAAGTAGTAAGTAGAATTGCAGTTCATAATCACAAAAGCTTTCTATATTACAGCAATTTCTATATAAAAAATTCTTTCAAGTCCATATGTAAGATGCTTAGTTATTATAAATGACCTCATATTTGAATACTCACAGATAAGTGCACTCCATTGGATTTACAGAAGGCATGCAATTTTGGCTGGTGTAATGAAGGATGCAATTCCACTTGATTAACAGCTGGAGGCACACGTGCCACATCCAACAGATCCTGAAGTTTCTTTACAGAGAAATTGCTGACTCCAATAGCTCGAGCCTTGCCAGAATTGTAGAGTGCCTCCATTGCTCTCCATGTGCTAGGTATGTCAGGTTTGGTAAGTTGCCCATTTTTCATGCTGACTGGCCAATGAATCTAGAACATACACATGAAAAATGGAATTTTAATACCGGTACTTGACATCAGTGATACTGTATAATATTCCAAATGATGTAGGAAAAAATTAATTTTATTATGATTTGCAGACAAGGTATAGATCCAGATAGTCCAGCTGCAAATCCCGTAATGTTCTATCAAATGCCTTTGGAACGTCTTCTGGCAAGTGATCAGTACACCTAAAACATGTGCAAATTAAATTAAAGAATGTAATTATGAACATTAAAATGATCATATGTGTAATATTGGTTAATAAATTGGCAAGAAAGTTTGAATAAACAGCAAAAGTCAGTAGACTTTATTTCTGTTATTGAGAAAGTCCTTTCCATTTTATAAAAATAAATATAGCATCTAAAAAAAATATATGATAAAAATATTCCTTTGTTGAAAAATGAGGCAGAACTGTAGGGTTTATAGTAAGAGATGGCTGACGGCTTATATTTGGTGGATATAAAGTTAATGAGAAAGTTGTTGAAAAGAGACTTTGAAGAATTGAAAAAAACCAAAAGGTTGAGCAATAACAAATTGAAGTTGTAAAATTATTAATGCTGCTAATCTCAGAACGTCTCTTTCTGTACGAGGATAAATTGATCAATGAGTTATCTTGCAAACTTAGATCATGTAATCAAATTTATAGCTTTGAATTACAAATCCCTTCAAATTTTACGAAATAAAAACCAAAAACAACAAAAATACAGTGGAAAGCACACCTATCATGTTATGTTTCCAATAAGTATGAATAATGAATTAAGAAAAAGAGTGAAAACCCTCGAGGAATATCATATAATAAGTGATTGAATAGATAACCTTGACAACAAAATAGTTAGACAAATATTAAGAAGTACATATAAAAAAGTCAAACCATAGCTTGGAGGTGATAAACATGTCTTCCCGCTTAACAGCACCATCAGCAAACAACTTCTTCAAGGCATCACCAATCTACATAGTATTTACAAGAAGTTAATGGATAAGAGAGAATACCACCATAACATTGTATTAGGAAAAAGAGGATAAAAGTAAAATTAGAAACATGATTCTATAACCAATGTACTTAATGATGAATAGCAATTTATTGACTGTTAGCTCTTGCTTTATTCTACAGAACGTTATTAAGAAAGGAATCAGGAAAAAAGGATAAAGGCCTCCAGTGGCCCCAAAAGGGGAAAAGTAGATGCTTTTGCATTCCATCTTCATCAGGGTAACTATTCTTCTGCCTGGACATCTTGTAAATTAGGACACCAAAGCAGATCCTTCTTCCTCATACCAGAACTATTATTTTTTGGTAAGCAATCGAGGCCTAAGATTAATTCGAAACAAAAGTATACATGCTTACACCTGGGAGTAGCAAATTCTGTTGCATTGCATAACAACTCACTCTGACTTCACTAGGAGGGACAGTCAGTACCTTAATAATAGTTGTAAGGGTAGATTATGTTGCACTTTTGTTCTTCAATAATTTAATGAAAACTGGTAAAACCAACAGGGAAATTAAACAACTCAAACTAGGGAAACAGAGGAAATGATGCTGGTATTATTTGTTATAATGGAATATCAGAAGAACTAGTATTACTGCCACAGAGCTAGGCTCCTACAGAGATCGAGTGTTCTCCATCCATAACTACTTGATTCTGAAAAGATACCCCCTTCTCACACACCAGTCCCACTATAACAGACTCCTCCTTACTTGGCTAACCACATAGTGCGGGCTAGGCCCCATTTGAGTCCATATTCTCAACTGCAGTCCTAACACTGCCTACCATGTAGCTTCATTAACAGGTTTTCCCTTCCACTGAATCAACATTTGACTAACAGATTCCCCATCTTTGTTCACTGTTCTGGTTGCAAGGATGCTGTTGGCTCCTGCAGATTATCAGTATCAATCTCCATACCTTGAGGCAGCTCTTCCTCCACCTTATAATTGCCAACAGCTTTCTTCAACAAGGAGACATGGAAAACTGGATGAATTCTAGCGCATTCTGGTAAGTGGAGTTTTTAAGCCACAGCTTGTACCTTTTCCACTACTTGAAATGGACCATAATATCTAGGGGCCAATTTAGGACTGATTCTAGCCCTTACTGTCCGCTGCCCATGTGGTCTTAGTTTCAGAAAGACCAACTCTCCTATCTCGAAACTTCGCTCGGTCGGTCTGTTTATGATTGGCTTGAAACTTCATTCAGCACTGAGCTCTTTGTAAATGGTGCTTCAGTTGTCTGAGAGTTCCATCCCTGTCCATCAACTCACATTGGTTTGCTTCTACGCATATTTCTCTGCATAAAAACTGAAAAATAATAGGTGGTGGTCTGCCATATACAATTTCAAATGGTATAGTCCCTATGGTGGTATGGAAGGTTGTATTGTACTAATATTCAGCCCATGGTAGACAATGCACCCAAGTCTTTGGTTGATCAGCAACGAAACATCATAAGAAAGTTTCCAAGCATCTATTGGTAATTTCTGTTTGACCATTCGTTTGTGGATGATATGTAGTGCTCATTTTAAGATGAGTACCCCACAACTTGAATAACTCACCAAAAGTTGCTTACAAAAATGGGATCCCTATCATTGATGATAGAAGTTGGAACCCCATGCAAATGCATCACTTCTTTAGTGAAATTCTTAGCTAGAACCCTTGCTGTATTTTGATAGCCTGTCAACAATTACCCAAATGGTTTCAAAACCCTTAGACTTAGGAAGGCCAATGATGAAATCCATGGAAATATCTTCCCAAATTCTATCAGGCATGGGTAGAGGTTGTAACAAAACAACCAGGAGCTGTAGCTAAATACTCCTGTTTTTGGCAAATATCACACTCTTTCACAAACTATTTGATGCACTCCTTCATCCCAAACCAATACAAGTTGGCTGCTACACACCTGTATGTCCTAGAAAACCCAGAATGACCTATAGTCAGTAATGGAATGAACTCCCTTAATATTTCTGGAATCCAAGGATAATTTTCAAAAATCACCAATCTCCTTTTGTAGCGCAACACACCATTGTTATAAGAAAATCCTTGTTTTACTTCCCTTCCGTATTGTAAATCGTCAACGATTCCCTTCAACTTGTCATCTTTGTGAACCTCATCAATCACCATGCTTCCTTCTGTCCAGCTTGAGTAGTGAATCAAAATAGTCAACTTTCCCCCATTATGCATGCGGGATAATGCATCAGCTCCCTTGTTTTCCAGTCCCAGCTTATATATGATGTTGAAACTATATCCCAGAAGTTTGACAGCCCAATTTTGTTGATCCATGGTGGCTACTCTCTGTAGTAATAATTGTTTCAAGTTCCAGTGCATACAATGAACTTTCTTCCTAGAAGATATGGCCTCTAGTGTTAATAGTTAAAGCTATAGCTATTAGCTCTTTTTCATAGGTAGACTTAGCCTGGCAAGGTTAGAACTGGTGTAGTTGTGATCTTCTTGAGCAGATCAAAAGCTTCTTGTGCTTAGCAATTCCATTTAAACCTTGCTTTTCTTGTCAATTCAATCAATGGTTTTGCTATTTTACCATAGGCCTTGAAAAATTTCCAATAATACCTAGTCAACCCCAAAAAACCTCCCCCTTCACATTTTCAGGCACAGGCCATTGTAAAACATACTGGACTTTATTGGAATCTATGGCTACTCCTTGAGAAATGATGTGCCCAAGATATTCTATAGACAATTGGGCAAAGTGGCACTTCTTTTGTTTGCAAGCAACTAGTGTTTCCTCAAAATTTTCAACACTTCAGACAAGTGAAACATATGGGATTGCCAATCCAAACTGTACACCAAAATGTCATCAAAGAATACTACCATACTTTCTAAGAATAGGTTTGAATACCTCATTCATCAATGATTGAAATGTAAAGGGTGCATTCATTAACCCAAATGGCAATGACTAAGAGTATGTTTGATTGCATTTTTAAAGAGTTTTCTCTTTTTAAAATTAGAAAGTAAGTGTAGTTTTTTATTTTAAAAAACTTTTTTAAAAAATGCAAACAAACATACTCTAAGTCTTCGCAATGCCCCTCGTGTTCTGAAAGCTGTTTTATGTCACTATCCTTAAGATCAATCTTCGAGAAATACTTGTTCTCCATGGACCTCATCCAACGATTCATCTATTACCGAAGTTGGAAATTTATCAAGTATAGTGACCTTGTTGAGAGCCCTATAGTCAACACACACATCCTCCAAGTATTGTCCTTTTTCTTAACAAGTATCACTTAGGCTACAGTATGCACTATGACTGACTATGGCCTGTGAAACCCAACTACATCAGCTCTTGGCACCTATTTCTCAAATTCATTTTTATATTGGTGAGGATACCTATAAGACTGAAAATTCACATATTTCTCAATTTCGTTTTTATATTGGTGAGGATACCTATAAGACTGAAAATTCACAGGTCCTTGACTCTCCCACAAAGTGATCAATTGCTCTTTGCTCCTCCTAGGTGGTACTCCTTTAGGTTCATTAAACACCACAGCAAATTGGTTTGATAACATCTCCAATTTCCGCTGCTGATTTGAACTTCAAACATGTTCCCTGCTTGGACCTTGCACCTGTTGTACATATTGAAACTGTGCAAACTCAGGTATCATTTCCATCATTCTTTTAGGCTTTAGGTTTCACAAACAAACTCTAAAAAGCCATGGAGGCCTATGGATGGAAATCCTCTCCTTGTAGCTCAACCGGCTTTCCTTCCCACTTGAAATCATGATTTGCTTCCTCTAGTCAATCAACATTTTTCCCAATGAGGCGAACCATGCCCTACCCAGCACAATATCAATACCCTCCAATTCAAACAAAAATGTATCCATTATGAAATTAGTTCATTCAATCAGAAAGGAAGTTGCAAATCGAGTAATTGCATGTCTCACCAATTCCCTCTTGTCTGTAAAATTTCTCAACAAACTCAAGGTACTTGAATGACTGTAGATAAAACCAACAATAAATATTCCTCTCCAAATTGTCTTCTTTATTAAGGGAAGTTTTTCAATATTTTTAAGCATAAGGTCTATGCAATAAGCTGCACAAGGAGTCCAATAAAGATGTGATCTTTTTTCTTCTAACATCTTACCAGCCAAGACATAATTGCTTTCATTATCTGTTATAAGTTGCAGAACTTTATACTCTCCAATCTTCTTCACAAGAATATCAAGCATCTCAAATAACTTTTCACTGGTATTCACAAAAATAAATCCACCAAAGGACCTCACAAACATAGTTCCAGCATGAGAGTTTATTAAGAAATTAATCAAACATCTTTGCTTATAATCAGTCCATGCATTTAACATGATGTAACAACCATGTTTGCTCCGCTTCTTATAATCTTTCAAGAGATACTCAGTATATTCTAGCTCTTTCTTAAGAAGTGGAACTCTACTATCATGATAACTGGGAACTAGCAAATTTGGACCAAAAGCACTTGCAGCTATATTATTTCTTGAAAGCTCTTCAATTTAATAAGAACAAAGGAAAGGTCAGCTTGATACCAAAATCGAGCTATGTATTGATGGATTCTTCCCTTGGTTTCCTTGTCACATACCTCTCTTATATGTTTTTACCTCAATTTTAACTTCTTTCTATTCTCAATGGCAATTTCTAATTTCCTACAAAACAAGTTCATCGGCCCTTTCTTATCAACCTTCTTATTACCTATAGCAATATATGTTTGGCTATCTTCCTCATCCTCACTTTCATTGTAGCTTATATCTTCAAAGCCCTTTATATTTGCAATTTCAATTTCTAGACACAGGCAAGCTTTCACATTACCCTTCTTTCCAATGAAATATTGTTTCACTATAGTGATTTCTGCAGTCATGACTTTTCCACAAAAACTGTATACAATATTATTTGTATCATCATCTCTCAATGAATGAGCATATTTCCATCTCGAGTCAAAACAATTAGAAGCTCTTAAAAATTTTAATGAAGATTCTTATTCAGCCATGTTAAGGAAAGTTGAAATAAAGAAAGAAATTATTTGAGGAAAAAAGAGAAAAACAGAGACTGGGAGAAGGAAAAATTGAAATAAGGAAAACTGAAAGATGGAGAGGGAAAAACGAAGAAAAGAGGCTACCAGAAAAAATGGAGTCACTGAAGATGGAGGTAGTAGTCACAGGAGCTGTAGCAGCAACTCACAGAAGATTGACAAACATTGAGGAGAAATAAGGGTTGAGTGAGTGAGACTAAGAGTGAGGATGAATTGACAAAGAACTCAGATTAAGCAATAAGCATAAAGATGAACAAAAAAGGAGCAGCAGAAAGATGATAATGACATGAAGCAGAAGCAGGAAGAAGAAAAGACAAAGTAGAGATGCAAGATTTAGGGTTTGGGTTTGCATATTTTCTCACTGGACCAAGTCGTGTTCGTGGCCTAACCCAATTTTCCTGAGAAAATCACCATTTCTGCCATGTTCACTAGGCATGTAATGGCCGCCAAGCATTGGTTCTAACAAAATCCTTTTGTCACAACTCTATGTCCATCACCTAATCAGATTCTTATCGCCTTGGTGTCCTCCACTGGCAATTCCATACTCATCACCAGCCTTCATGATATAAAGTTATGTATTGCCTCACTATCAACTAAAATCAATATTGGTACTCCCTTCATCATGCCACATAGCTTCAAGGTTTGCTACTTGAGTTCTTGGTTCATCAACAAACTTCTGAAATACATGATGTTGCATTCACCCTCAACATCATCTCTTGCCCCACCTTTACTGCCAACATATTTCTAGCTTTCTCCTCATCCCCATCTTCGTCCATTACCATGATTCTATATTGTTTATTAAGGCATTGGTGGAGGGTGAAATGGTCTCCCACATTTGTAGCAAAGTCCTTTCAATTTGCATTCCATGTGCTCATGATAGGACAAATGTCTTACCCTCTTGTCCCTGGGAATATTTTTACCCTTGTCCTCCTTGTCCCTCCTTTATTACTATTCCCCTTAATTGTAGCCTCCTTCCCACTTTTGACATAAACCCAATCCTTCTCTTCACTGCACTTCTTTATTGGGCTTGAAAAAAAACCTTGAACCTGTATTTGGCCAAAAACACCTTCAGCCTTTGTTTTGTCACCCAAGACTCATGCTCATGTCTTCTCTCCATACCTCCTTTTTCTACTGCTCAAGCTAAATTCATCAATTGAGAATGCTGGATGGGACCCAATGCCTTGATACTAAGAATATGATTGCGAATTTCCTCTCGCAACCTATGCAAGAAGTACCCATAATGCTGATTGCCTAGCAACTTCTTCACCTGTGTTGTAAGGCGATCAAACCCTTGTATATACTCATCAACACTTCCCCTCTGCTGCAGTGCCACTAATTGTTCGTAAATATTGCCATCTCCTATACCTCCATACTGCTCCATCAACTCAATTTTGAATTGTTCCCACATCAAATCTCTGCCCAACAGGGAATTAAAAAAGTGGATGGTGGAAAATTCCATGCAAAGTTGGGTCACATTGATGTGCACATCTGAATGGGTGTCACTTGCACTCAAATAAATTTCAGCACGAATGATCCACGCTGCAAGGTCCCCTTCGTCTAACATGGGAAGTTTGATTTTCTTCACAAATTGGTGGAACTTGTCTAAGCAATCTCCCTGTAACTCCCTCATTCCAGCCAGAATTAGACTTCAATTTCTCCTCCGAACATTTCTTCCCCTAATTGTCTTCTACTTTCTTGTCATTGTTATCGCCCTGGCCTTTGTCCTCCTCATCCACTGAAACACTGTTTTCCAAATTCTTCATTAATAATGCAATAAGCTGAGCTTGATTCTCCTCAGCTTGGGCTTTCATCTCCACCATGGTAGCTTTGATGTGATGTTCACCATTTTGTTTTCAAGAGCAGCGACCTTTGCTTCCATTCCTCCTTTCTCAATCTTCTTCTTTGGTGGCATTCACTTCTGTGGTCGAGGCTGAAATGCTGACCTCTTAGAATGGATCTTAAATCGTCTCTCTCAAATATCTGGCAGGTCAACCAATTTGATGCAAACAGGTAAAACCAATAGGGAAATTAGACAATTCAGAAAAGGGAAACAAAGGAAATGATGCTGGTATTATCTGATATAAAGGACAATCAGTAGAATGAGTCTACTGCCACAGAGTTAGGCTCCTACAGAGAGCTTATGCTCTCCATCCATAACTAACTTCTTTTTCATACCCCTCTCTCACACACCAGTCCCACTACAACAGACTCCTCCTTACTTGGCTAACCACTTACTTCTCTGTATCACGTCACTCTCCTCGCTTATACATTTCTTCTTTCTTCTAGTGTATACTCTCCATAGTGTGCCCATTTGAGCCCATATTTTTAACTGCAGTCCTAACATTAGTTTGTTCTAGTTTTGCTTCTTTTTTTTATGCATAAACATATTTGCAGTTTGCTTTATGCTATCAATAGTAGTTTACTAAGGCTCTGCTATGTTTGTTATTATAAATGCTACTCAAAGAGTTTTATTTTGTATGGTAATATACTGTGATGTTTTATATAAAAATCCTGAAAATGAAAAGGGAAATATAAAGTCAGAATATAGTTCTTCCCTAAATTTTTTATATAAAAGCAGCATATTATATTTGCAATGGAGAGTAAAACATTAGTCTTCAAATCAGTAAAATATAGCATAGGAAAAAAATGTGCAGGCATAACCTCATACTAGAAACTCTAGCGTTGTGATCTAACCAAATTCACTCAATTCAAGCATGCAAAATGACTTGCACAATTTATTTCTCTAAACGATAGAAAACAATACGAAGAAAATGCTTCAAGAACATAGGCATAGCTGTAGCTCCTCCAGAACAGGAAAAGGCTATTTCAAAATTGTCAAGAAACCTCACATTTTGTTTTACAATTAGAAAATAATTTTTCACACTTTCCTAAGAAAAACACACATTCCAATGAAAATATATGATTAATTTATGCACATATTTTAATCATATTCAATTAAAATCAATTTCATCAAAATCAGTTCTGCTTAACTTTAAATCAAGTAGGTTCAAAGAACCCAGACTCCAAAAGCACATCACACAAACAAATATCACAAGACAGTCTTTGTGTGGCCCAAGAAAATGTCATTGATCTTCACCCATAATTCAAGTTATGTAATTCAAACCAATTAACCAAACAAGAGACTTAAGGGCCCTAACCTTAGAGAAAATATTTCCTTTCCCAAAAGATTTGTATGACGGTATGACCTAGATTCTGCCAAGTCCTTGAGAGGGTACCAGGGAGTCTACTCTATTTACAATGCTTTAACAAAAGTTTTATGTTGCATTGCCTGAGTTGAGAGTTAGTGTAATAATATTTATAAGCTGCGTGTTTAGTCATTAAGGTTATGCTATGTAATACATGAGCACCTTTATGATTTTCATGTATTGTTTCACCTCTGATTGTTTGTCCCCAACAACATTCTTACTAAATAACAATCTAAGTTCTCGTACAGCATGACAAGAAGTTGAGATAACTTCTATTCTTTTGTTTCTTACACAATTAAGCATATTTTCATTACCAAGCAAAAACTATTGAAATATTGTATTTATTTTTAAATTTCCCAGGCAGTGCAACTGATTAAAGGATCTACAAATTCAGCAAATGCAAGGCATCGAAGCTTTAAATTTTAAACACATTAAAGTAAATATACTCGTAATTTAAAATTAATATAAAAAACTCGTAACGTAACAAATTTAACATGTACTACTACGCAATCATTATGATATAATTAAACCTAATACGACAGACATATTCTTACTTAGAATACCCCTAACCTCTTTTTCATTGCCATAAACCTGAGCACAATCTATATGCCGATATCCAACCTGCATCGATATTGTCACATTGATCTGTAAGCCAACATTATTCATTAACTCTAAAACAAATCCATTAAGTAAATAATAGCAATACAAATAAAAAAAGAGAGCAAAGTGTTGAATTTGAAAAGAAAAAAGAATTAATGGAATGGATAATATATTAAGAATTAGTAACGACTGAGAGGAAAGGGTGCAACGTTGATAGCAGTGGCCAAGGCATGAGCAACAACACCGGGTTGAGCAAGCCAAGTGCCCAAACCAACGGAAGGTATCTTAGCACCTGTGTTTAACTCAAAGAAGCGAAGATCATCACTTGCCATTTTCTACAGTGCGGAATGGAACTAAGGTCCGCAGTTTCGATTTGTTAAGCTTTTATTCAGAACTATGTAAATTCCTCGTGTTGCGCACGAAGAAATATTTTATTTATGACAGCTAAGCGTTCGATTATTAAGAAAAATTAATACTAATGCGTCCGTCCCTTCTATAAAAAAGGCTATGTTTGTCCTTCACTCTTAAAAGAGTTTTTAATTTTTTTAATATAGTATAAATTTATACTATATTTAAAAAAATTAAAAAAAATTTTAAAAAAGAAATAAACATACTTTAAATTACTGTAACCTAAAAAAATATATTATATTTTTTATAAATATAAATTTTATTTTAAAAATATTTATAATATTAAATAATATAGTTAATAATTTATATATTTAATAATATTAATTTTATTATTTATTTTGTATAATAAAAATTAAAAAAATACTTTATTTTATTTCTTATAAGAAAGATTAGTAGTATTATTTTGGTCCTAAAAATGACATAATTCAGAGTGAGAGTACTAAATACTTAATTAAATTTTTATTTATTTATAAATAAATAAAATAAAAAAGATATAAATATTATTAAAAAATATAAATATTATTAAAATTATAAACTTGTATTTATAATAATAATTTATAAAATTAAATAATACTTTGTCCTGTAAACTAAAAAATGCTTAATATTTGGATTCTTATAATTTTTTATTTTAATAAATTATGACATGAAAATTAACATAAATTATGATAAATATCTTATATTTGAATTGTCAATTTAAATTTATAAATAATTATTAATCATAAATACAAAAGATATTTTGAATAATTTTAAAAAAATTATAAAAAATATAAATAATAAGTAATTAAGACTTATTAATTGTAATACTCCAAATTTTACTGCTTATAAATTAATTACTAGTCATATCAATTTAAATAAATTAAAATTAGATAATATATAAAAAGTTAAAAATTAAAACACATTTAGCAAAATTGATTAAAAAAAAGACAGACTAAAGAAGAATTGTAGGATAACCTAAAATAGGAATTATAAGAATTATAATCAGTTGAGAAGAAAGAAAAATAGAAGATTAAATACCAATTACAAAATTGGTAAAAAAACTAAAATATCAATTGAATAGGGTTATATTCATAAAAATTTTAAAATATTTATGGCAAAAAAGGGTTATATTCATTCAAGAACCAAGTCTAAACTTTAAATAGAAAATTCAAATAGAATTTCCCAAGTTCAGCGTTCATGTGACATGTAAAAGTTTGAAAAATTGGGCAAAACTTTCGATTTTATCCTATCTTATCCAATCCAAGTGACACAATTTTTGACACAAAAGGAGACCCAATTTGTAAATAATTTAGTAAGGAATTAACTAAAGTAAAGTAGGCCAATAGGAAAAGAAGCTTAGTTTACTAAAACTCATGAAAATGATACTAGAGTTAATGATCCAATCTCTAACCAAATGGTCTAACCAAATGACAACCAAATCAAACCAATTTCAGTCAACAAATAGTTTTATGTGAGGAAAAATTTTTATCATAACTTTTAGGGACCACTTTCCATGAGGATAAAAGCTGAATTACGAGGATACTTCAAAAGCAAAGTTATTGGACTTAGACTCTCCTAGTTGGAGGCCATTTTAACATGTGAAATGAAACAAAGTTGAAACATTTGGCCAATATTTCAAATCTAGCCAAACCATGCCCTTTTAATCACTTAACTACATCCAACACATACTAAAAGAAGCCCCACCACTCAAAACTAAGTAAAAAGACTCTAATATTGGAGGACCTTTTTGGGCGCCTTCAAAGCAGATTTAGAGAGACAAGAAAGAGGTTCAAATTAAATCAAGAAAGAGAGAGAGAGAGGCAGGATCTTCTTACACCAGTGTAAGTCTAAAAACTCTAACATCCAATCTGAGGCTTTCATTTAACTTAAATCTAACAGTCAGTGAAGTAATAAATTATAACTCGCTAGATTTAAGTTAAATGAAAGGCTCAAATTAGGTGTAAGAGTTTTTAGACTTACACTGGTGTAAGAAGATCTTTCCCCATATATATATATATATATATATATATATATATATATATATATATATATAGGAGCAGTGACGTATGATGACATTGATATTTTATAAAAAGGGGTTGTGACAGTCTGTGTAGACATGAGACTCACAAAATATTGTATAGAGAACAAACCTTCTCTACATGTCATAGGCAATCTGTCACGACTCTTTTTTATAAGGAACCGAGAACATTGTTTCTACATCACATACTTATTTAAGATAAATAAATAATAGAGAATATAAGTATAAAATTCACTTCTCATTCAAAATAAAACAACCTTTTTTTTACAACAAATATCCAATAAAACAACATAATATTACATTTAGTTCATAATATTCAAAATACCCAAAATTATACTATGTAGCTCCCTCTACATGAGGTCTCAAAATCTAAGGAAAAAAGGACTTTGATGCAATATTACTTGACTCCAGCTTCTAACATTTCTTCATTGGCCCCTCAGCCTGTGAAGTAAATGCAACACCTGTTACATCTGCTCACGTACCACCGTACGATCATCGCAGTACACACGCACACAACGACATAGAAAGAATGCAAGGGTAAGCTTACCAAACATAAAATAAAAACATATTTATAGAGCAAAATATTTCTCACAGCAATGACCCCATGCATTTCCAGCCCATCTAATGCACAACATGAAAATGGTTTCTAACTGGTTTTACAGCCTAAGTAATCCAGAAGGAATCGAGCCGGTCTGGGAGCGACCCATTCCGGTATCTGGATCCAGACAGCACAACACAGCAGCTCAGCATGAACTTACCGTTACATGTCTACCCACCTAAACATGTAACTCGGCTCTATAATGATGCAAAATATATATCTCAGCATGATGCACACTGCCAAAGTTATTTTAACAGCTCAACTAAGGCAAGTTTATAATATATCAGCCAAAATCTCAGCATTTTAAATCAATTAACAGCAGTTGTAGCTTAGAAAATAGCTTTTATTCAATAGATCTAACAAAATCATATCAAAACATCTTGAAATAGCATATTAAATTGTTCAAAACGTAGTTCATAAGTTAAAGTAAACTCCCTTTACCTCAGAACGATGATTCACAGTAGATCTACCGAATATTACTTGTTTTATAGCAAGATTCACCGAAGATTTGGCTTTAGAACGAAGTTTCTCCTAAGAACACCATGAACTTCTGTGAGAAAGAGAAGAAGAAGAGAAACGAACGGTAAATCTAGCTTCAAACTTAAAGAAACTTACTTCAAATCCTTCAGAATAAAAGTAGAATCTCAGATCTGGTGAGAAATCTAAGTTTAGGATGGTTTAATATGAGAGAAAATGGTGGTATATGGCCTTAGAACCTTTGAGAACTTTGGATATGAGTAAAGGAATGAAAATTTCGTGTGAAGCCCCCTTTTTATAGAAAATTTTCAAAATTTACCGTTCATCGCCAGAAACACTGTTCACCGCCTTACTGTTCACGCCAGAAACACTAAGCATGCGTACTATACATGCACTGTACGCGTATGTGACGTCAGCCATGACGTCATGATGATGTCACTGATGACGTCAGCAGTCACTGTACATACGCGGTTTGCACTGTTCATAAGCGGTTTTACTGTTTATTCGTCACTGTTCACTTTTTTTTTTTAATTTCAAACTCCATCTAATTATATTTCAATACCAAATAATCCTTCAATTAACATTTAACAAGTATAAAATATTATAGATTACTCAATAATAAATCACAAGCCTGACACAATCGCTTTTGTCAGGCTTGTAATCTATTATTGAGTAATCTATAATATTTTATACTTGTCAAATATTAGTTGAAGGATTATTTGGTATTGGAATAAATTTAGATAGAGTTTGAAATTTTTTAAAATAAAAAAAAAGTGAACAGTGTCGTTGAACAGTGACGTACCATGTAACATCCCCAATTTCGATTTACTCGTCATGGATTATTCATTGTTAATTAGTGATTTCTCGCTTTATTCTTTTTTAATTTAGGCTTGTAGTGGATTAAGATGTTTCTGTTGTTGATTGATTTTTTTTTTCTTTTTCTTTTCTCCATGTAAATTTTTCCAATTGACTTGTGTTTTCACTTGCATCAATATTCTTTTCTTTGGTACAATAACATATTAATGGTTGATGTATTTTTCATTTACATAAGTCTTCATTGTCATGTGGTAGAATACTTTGAGAACCCTAGGATAGCAAAACTAACCCTAGGACGAAATTGTCTTTTGATCAAGATAGGTGGACCCCATTTTATTATTATTATTATTATTATTATTATTATTATTGCTAATATTATCCTCCTAATTCATTTTATCTGTTTATGTTGTATTGTTATTTTTTTTTTATGAAAGAGAAACTACTCGTGTGACCCTTGCCCTTCCTAGCCATTATCGATAATTTTCTCTCTCTTGCATTGAATACCCACTTGACCCTAGTTAATATATGCATGAGTCTTTTCGTTTTCTCCTAACACCATGCGCCCTAAATTTATCATTTAGTATAGCACCACCTTTTTCACATTATGTTTCACGTGCAACAAAAGGAATCTAAAGAGACACATTAACTATTTAAAATTTTTCCCTCTTAATTAGGGCAACCAAATTTTTGTTTAATGCATATGGGAGGGAGAGAGAATCGGCCTTAATGGCCTGGATTCTGAGCCTAAATAATTGCACTTAATGCAATTTCCATTTTCCTAATTACCCTAATGAAATGCAGTTGCCCCATCTTAAACCACCACACTTCACGTGGCAATTAATGGAAATTTCCCTCTTTATGATGCAATCGAAAAATAGAGCCTTTATTCTTCTCTTTAAGTGTAGAATTTTCATATTCCCATGCATTTAATTAGGATTGACCATTCATCTTAAATTAGCATTAATCCCATGGTCATTTATTAAGGAAGTTTCCCATGTCTTTTGCACTCACACAAGAAACTTTTCCCTTACCTCATTTAAAGCACCACTAACATCTTTAATTGCTTTCCACCTGCATTTAATCCCTCTAGAAAATGGAGAGATGCATGCCCATTCCCTCCTCAAAT